AACAAAAGTGTTATTGTCAATGACTACTTATTTTTGTCCAGCTTTAACATCAGTATCGACATCGGTTATCGGCTACATGAGTTTTAAAATATTGGCATATCGGATATCGGCCAAAATCCCAATATCGTGCATCCCTACTCTAAAACAAACAAAAAAATAATTAATCTTCAAAAGCCTTCTGTAAAAAGACGCAGGGTAATTAAAGGATAAAAAGAGACTTCATTTTTCAATCTTTGTTGTTTTTGTGCACATTTTCTATCCCAATATTGACCTATAGGATGAAGAAAATTTAGCAAGACTGAAACGTGTGGAAATTTTTCATCCAAGGCTGACAGAAATAACCAGATCTAAAGTAGCAAAAGCTTTTCCACCACCGTTATGAGACTAATCAAAATGACCACTTATTCAGATTTAGTTGCATCACTGCTATATCAACCACGATGGATATAACCTGATTTAACGGATGCATTGGCAATTTTCTCACTAGCTTTGAACTATTCGATATCGTTATAATAGCTTCGATAATGCACAGATATAACAGAAGCAGACGCTGGCTCAAACTCAGCCACTCACCTGTTAAGGTACTTTTCCAGTGACATGTTTACTAATGCTAGCTTGGTTCATGTGTTATTTGTGATGTCATCAACTTCAACACACACAAAGCAGGGTCATTTTTTTACTTGTTTTTTTTACACAATATATCTGGAGTCATTTGACATTTAATCGAGATGAAATCCTTTATAACCCTCCTGTATTTTTAATATTAATTTACATATTTTGGGGTAAGAAACGTAGCATTAGAGGGTATCGTTAAATAAAGATCAGTCTTCAGATATATTATTAAAGATGATATGTAATCTAAAGTCTGCAGATTTTAGCCATACTTCTCTGAGTCAGTGGGCGGGGCTTCCACGGCTCCTGTCACTATCAACCGGCTAACCAATCAAATGCTGAGGTTTATTTTTTTAGAGCAGCAAAGGCAGTTTGATTTATGTGACTGTGCAACGTAAACCAGGAAATATTTACCAACTTAAATAATGTGATATTTTAACTTGGGTCGTGTTTAAAGAAAAAAAAAATGTTTTTCATAAAAGAAAAAAATTAAAATAATAAATTCTGAATCGACTCTGACATTATTTCCTAAAGATTTGAGTATAAAACCAAAGACTGATTTTCAGGAAATTTATGTTTTACTATCCTTACAGCCACCATTAACTACCATTTCTTTATTTGTTTGCTGTTAAATGTTACTATAATACTAGTATCCATATAACTACACAGTCAGGTTATTTTTTTTAACCAGCAATCCAGTTTTAAAGGTATACTATGCAAAAAAAGTAAAAGTGCACTGTCGTAAATATGCTCAGCTGTTCTCCTGGTTTCTCCGTCAAGCCAGGCGCGGTTGTTTTGAGCTTAGCAGACTGTTTTCTCGCTGGTTTCGCCATGATAACTGCACAAATATCGCCAGTGCGCTAGCAACGAGCATGCCCTCACTGGGGGCCTGTAGCAGTTCTCGCCGTAAAGCAAGACCGACTGTCGCGATGCACGAGACTTCTGAGCCTGTGGGTGCGGGCGAGGGCTCCTGCAATCGCAAGTACGGTAATTCCCCCACAGACCACCAGGGCGGCCGAGAAAACCTTTGTTCGACCTGAAATGACTCATTTAATCATCCAAAACGTTATGGAACACATTAATTAACTGAAAAATGTTGCATAGTATGCCTTTAAATGAGATTGGATTGAATTGGATAGAAACCAAAATAGTTTATTCTAAATACTGAGAATTACAATTGAATCAATTATTGACATTTGGATCGATACAAGCCGTAATTTTAATATTTAATAGCTTTAAAAAATTAACATTAAAAGAGCCCCTTTAAAATGAAACCATCAAATGTACTTTGGTACTTCTTTGTGCTGCTCTTCTATTTGATAAGTCAGAGTGAAAGCTTATTGTGCACCTTTGGATCAATAAAATGATTAAATGATAATAAAAAAATAAAAGCTTAAAACTATAATAAATTACACATTTTAATGTTTAACTAAATTATTTTCTAAGTAAATTTTACTGCTGAATTACCGTGCATCTTATTTATGACAGTTACTTGTTTTTTTTTTCAGTAAGAAGATGTAAAATATTTAATGTGCAGTTTATTTAGAAAGCTCTCTCTGTATTTAAAGGAGTTAGACATTCCTAACTGCAGCAGGATTTCTGATCCTGAAGAAGAGTTTTTGTTGAAGTTAGCAGAAGGCGCAGCACATTATCCTGCGTGTCAGCTGTGCAGCCGGCCTGAACGGGGCTTTGGTTGCACCGCTGTTTCATTATTTAATTGGAAAAAGGGTTTCCACTCCTTGCTGAGTTTCCACTCCCCTTTGCTCTGCAGCAAGGCGGAAAGGATTTCCATGATATTTAACTTTCCAGCAGGATATTTTGTATTTTTCTCTGCACTTCTTCTGCAGGTCTTTCCTCTCTCTCACACACACCCGTTGCCACACCCTCTGTCTTTACAAATCTTTTTTTTTTTATTAAGTATCCATTAATAACACTGAACAGATAAATAAATAGAAGCTTTTTCTTCTTTATTAAATTAAACTACATTTACTTTTAGTTAAAAAGCCTTTTCTTCCTCTCATCACCTGTTTGGAATGAATACAATCCTGACTAGTTGTTACCTTCACTCCTGCTGAAAAATGTAGACCAACGCTTCTTGTTTCTGTTTCTCCTTTTTAAAACAAGTCACTCAAACATGACACATTGAAACAGGTTCTCACGTTCAGACATCTAAACATCTTATTAACTGTTTAGGTCATGTGTTGGATCAGTTTTGGATCATCTTATAAGTAATGCTCCTGTTTTTTTTGTGTGTTTTTAGCGACAGACTTGTTGTTGGCGTGGAACCCGGTGTGCATGGGCTTGGTGGAAGGCGTCATTGGAAAGATACAGCTTCACACTGGTAGGTGGAGAATGAAAACCATTTCAGCTGTTTTTGGTGTGTCCTTTTTACACAGGGCAGACAAGTTCTGGCCTGTATTTTTCCACGTGTGTATTGCCGGTGTTTGGTATGTTTGTAATTGGTAAAGGTGTGGGAAAAAAATGTAACTGTGTACTGAGAATGAATGAGCTGAGCTCTCATCCTGGTAGGGCCTCAGATTCGGATCTTTCCGAATGGAATTATCACTATTAAATGAATGCACATGACTAAGTCTGATCTAACCTGCAGCTTCCTCTAGTCTTATAGGCAATGATGTGTAAAACCTTCAAACTTATTCATCTCTTAGTGGCATAATCCAACAATTTTGAGATCCTTGAAAATTTAGAAAGATATAACCTTATAGTTGAGAGCTCTAGAAAATTAAATCAAATGTTAAGAGAATCTGTACTTTTTATATATATGTATAT